CTCCATCACCCCCTCCCCCCTTCACCTCCTCAACCCCATCCCAGCACTGCAGAATTTTGGGGAAGTTTTGGGAATTTCTGTGAATTTTGAGGAATCTCTGTGAATTCTGTGAATTTTTGGGATTTTTTTTTAAATTTTTTTGGGAATTTTGTGAATTTTGGGAAGCACTCACGGCTGCCAGCCGGGCGCTTCCCTCATCCCCCCCACTTCCACCTCCTCACCCCCATCCTGGCACCGCAGGATTTTGGGGAAGTTTTGGGAATTTCTGTGAATTTCTGTGAATTCTGGAAGTTTTGGGTATTTTGGGGAAGCTTTTGGAATTTTTGGGATTTTTTGGGAATTTTTGGAATTTTAGCAATCAGGGCCGAGCACCTCCATCACCCCCCACCTTCCACCTCCTCACCCCCATCCCAACAGAGTGAATTTTTCTGGAAATTCTGGGAATTCAGGAATTTGGGGGAATTTATTTTTAATTTTTGGGATTTTTTGGGAATTGTTGTGAATTTTGGGAAGCACTCACGGCCGCCAGCCGGGCGCTTCCATCATCCCCCCCCATTTCCACCTCCTCACCCCTATCCCGGCACTGCAGGATTTTGGTGAAATTTTGGGAATTTCTGTGAATTTCTGCAAATTCTGTGAATTTTGGGGATTTTTTTTTTTTAAATTTTTTTTAATTTTTGTGAATTTTGGGAAGCACTCACGGCCACCAGCCGGGCACTTCCCTCATCCCCTCCACTTCCACCTCTTCAACCCCATCCCGGCACTGCAGGATTTTGGGGACGTTTTGGGAATTTCCGTGAATTTCTGTGAATTCTGGAATTTTTGGGTATTTTGGGGAAGCTTTTGGAATTTTGGGGATTTTTTTGGAATTTTTGGAATTTTAGCAAACAGGGCCGAGCACCTCCATCGCCCCCCACCCTTCCACCTCCTCACCCCCATCCCGACACTGTGAATTTTTCTGGAAATTCCAGGAATTCTGGAATTTTGGGGAACGTTTTGGGGGATTTTTGGGGAATTTTGGGGAATTTTTGTGAATTTTGGGAAGCACTCATGGCCGCCAGCCAGGCGCTTCCATCATTCCCCCTCTTCCACCTTCTCACCCCCATCCCGACACAGCGCATTTTTCTGGAAATTGCAGGAATTCTGGGAATTCTGTAATTTTGGGAAATTTTTGGGAATTTTTTTTTTAATTTTTGGGAATTTTGGGAAGCACACACAGCCGCCAGCCGGGCGCTTCCATCAACTCCCCCAATTCCAACTCCTCAACCCCATCCTGGCACTGCAGGATTTTGGGGAAGTTTTGGGGCTTTCCGTGAATTTCTGCAAATTCTGTGAATTTTTGGGATTTTTTTTTTATTTTTGGGAATTTTTTTGAATTTTTGTGAATTTTTGGGAAGCACTCACAGCCGCTAGCCGGGCGCTTCCATCATCCCCCCATTTCCACTTCCTCACCCCCATCCTGACAGAGTGAATTTTTCTGGAAATTCTGGGAATTCTGGGAATTTTGGGGAATTTTTTTTTAATTTTTGGAATTTTTTTGGAATTTTTTGGGAATTTCAGGAAGCACTCACGGCCGCCAGCTTGTCGAAGCGCGCGAAGAGCTCGTTGAGCAGCTTGACGAGCTCCTGGGCGCTGCAGGACGACGAGAGCTGCGTGAAGCCAACGATGTCGGCGAAGAGGATGCTGCGGGAACAC